GCTGGGCATAGACCCGGCACTGGGGCGGCCCAGTTGCCCGGACCCCGCTCCCATCGACACCGCCTGCAGGGACAGGGGACAGCCGAACTGCCAGCGCCGACCAGCGCCCCATCCCCCTGCCCACCCCGACCCCCCCATCGCCCAGCACCATCCCTCTCCCCGCCGCTGACATTGGTGCCGCGTCCTCCCGGCGCAAGGGAGGGGGCCAGTGACGGGCTGGCTGCTCCGCGTGCTTTATGGCCTGCTACCTGTCATAAACTGAGAAAATCAGGATCAATAAATCTTCCTGGAAACAAAAATCAGGGGAAATAAAATGAACTCAATGGGGAAACACAGATAAACGGAATTGAAAACGCCTGCTGGGACAGCTTGGTGCTCTCATAAACCGGAGATATACAGGCTGCCGCGCTCCCTCCCCACGGCGGGCAGGATTCATCACCGCGGCCCCCGCTCGGCACAGGCAGGAGGGCTGCCGGCACTGTGGGGCACGCGAGGCCACGCAGCCCCCCGGGAGCCTGGCCAGGACCCTGCCTGCTGCCCGCTGCCTGCCATTTTGACGGAGCCCCGCAAGGAGCTGAGTTGGCTTTCCCGGCGCCCCCCTCGGCCACAGCCCACACAAGTCACCAGCCGCCGGCTGCTGGGATGGCCATGGCTTAAACAGTGATGCGGACATGTAGATAGGTTAATGTTTGTGTAAACATGTATTGGAGGGTGATTAAATATGTATTGGACATTTGCAAATGCATGTTAATCACCTAGTTAGCGCTCGCGCTTGCTCCGTGAGTTATTTACCCCGCTGAACCATTATAGCACTGGTCAATCAGGTGCTTCTTTCTCTGCCTAACCTCACCGGATCCGCAGCCGGGCCGGAGGGGTGGCACGTGCCCAGTGGGCAGCAGTGATAGGGGCTGTCTCCGTCCTGCTCCGGGCAGGTACAGGGGCTCGGGGAGGAGGTAAAGCCCCCGGCCCCAGGGGAGCAGGAAGCCCCCGGGCAGATGGGTACAGGACGGTGCCGCCTCTGCCGCCCCTTCGTCCCTCCCTCCAGCTGCCACT